TTTTATAGATATTTTTGTATAAGAGGCGGACCCCTTGCCCGTTTTATTGTTGTTGTTGATGTGCGGACGAGAGGACGAGAGTGGTAGGCAGGGATGGCTCTTGTTGTGCGGCAAGTTGCATTGATTGTTTGTTGTTAATGATGCGGACGAGAGGACTAGATAGAGTGTGGTAGGCGAAAGCAGTACGTACCGTGTTAAAGGGAGACAGACAGAGTGCCTACCGTGTGTACAAGGGGCAGACATAGTGGAACAGAGTATAGGGGTTGTGCGCGGTGAGGAGGAACGGTGTGCCTACCGTGTGTATAAGGGACGAGTGGAACAGACTATAGGGGTTGTGCGCGGTGAGGAGGAACGGCGTTCGAAGGCACATGCAATATGGGTCACAGATCTTTTCGTCACGGATCGTTTGCCTAGCCGCGTGGCCCCCTGGGCGAACTCCGCGCTCGCCCCCACATCGGTCACTTCCTCTCCCTCTACACTCCCTCTCATCCTCCGTTAGAAGCCCGGATTCTTCACACATTATGTCGTCGGAAGCGCAGCAGATCGCCGAAATGTGGGGCGACTTCGAGGAGGAAGTGGCCCAGATTCCTCGCGTCATGCCAAAGCTCACCCCCGAAGAGGCCGCAACCCAAACATGCCTGTACTGCCGCGGCACTACCTTTGAGACGCCTGGAGTCAGGCAGTGGGGGACGAGGTGAGACCTTGTACGCAGCCACGAACCCAGCGGGGCGTTCTGTTGCTGTCTGTTGGCGGCCGCCGTTGCCGTGTGCTGCTGCTGTTGCTGGTTACCATTTGCGCACTTTGCGCATTTTGACATGCCTGACTATTGTCTATTCGATGTGTTCGATGTATTGTACAGTTTATTGAAGATGTAATACGCCCCAATAGCCGTTGGTGATTTTATTTTATCCCTACAAAAACCATGCGCCAACAACGAGAATCACATGCGCACGGCCCGACGGCGTTTGTTTGTTTCCACACACCAATAATAAGTCCATGCATGCAGGAAGCAGCCACAAATTAAACGCCCCCCTCTCCACTCATTTTTGCATGAGACACGACAATGAAGCACAGCCAGTCACCGGTGCACCCCGTTGCCCTCCACTCATTTTCGTATATATATTCTTATGAGCGTCAACCATTTTTCCTCTGGCCTTTCGCTCCCTTCCCTTCTTTCTGTTTGCTTCGGAATAATGCAGTTGCACTGACTGCCAAGAGTCCATCTCCCTGTCTTCGTCCAAGCCGGACGACGACGAGCGCAAGACCAAGCGCTTCTCCAAGCCCTTTACTTGCTTTTTTTGCAAGGACCTGATCGGGTACGACGCGCCGTACTTCCGTATGCCACACCCGAAGGGTAAGATAAATCCCTACAACAATCCTTCTTGCCTGACGCTTTCCACGTGCCTACTTGCCGAACGCTTTACTTCCCTTCTTCACGCCTGCATCTGCCGTCCACACCTCAGCTTGAAGCGCGACAAGCGCGTCAAGCCATATTTTCCAATTCGTCTCTGCCCGGGGTAGGCTCTCAGATGGGAGACGTCGCTAGCGTCTTCGAGGCAATTGCGGCTCGTTGCCCACAGGAAGGGTCACCCATATGGCCAGACAACTTCAACGATCGTCAAAAACGGGTCGTTCGGACTCGTCGAGAATTTGGGCTTGATTGGCGATACGGCAATTCATGTCCACTGGGCAATCACTCCAACCTCGAGATTACGCCCGATCAGTCGGCGGCGCTGAGGAACGCCACCGTTATCACCATCCCAAACGGCGCCTCCACCACTTTTCATGAAAAGGTACAGGGATTTTTCTCCTCTGGCCAGGCTTCGGATCTGTCCATTCCGGGGACATCCCTGTGCCCCTTCTGTGCAGCTGGCCTAAGCCAGACACTGTGCAATTGGACTTTGCTACCATGGACTGTGCACACAGCACCTAACAGGGTGTTATTCCGTTCTACTGAGGTATTCCAAGGGCTGCATGGTCGGCCCATGTCGCCATCGCCGACTATGTTCATGGGGGCTGCATATTCCTTGGTCGGCGTATCTTACCATATTGCGCATGGTGGGTCACGGAAGAACCACTTCGTCACTCAACTGCGTGTCAGAGGAAGATGGCACAAGTACGACTGCCTGGCGGGAGGAGCGGTAACTTCTTCAGACACGTTCGATGCCGACTGGAACAGCTCGTCGCAGTGTATGCTGGTGTACCTTAAGACTTCTTTGTGTGTCGCCACCCCACCGCTGTACACGCGACACGAGGAACAACATCATAACAGCCCTTCTGGGCGACAACCGGGCCACCGTCATCACGCCGACGACAGCAGCCCTTCGGGCCGGAATCATCAACACCCCTTGCAGCACTTGCCACACAGCCCTTCAGGAAGGACTACATCGCCCAGTGGCGCCCGTTCTATCCACGATCGCAGCTCCACGGATGCCGGGGATGCCGTCTTCGATTCTTTTGGGGACATGTGTATCAGTCCCTCAGGCCGAACTTTTTAGTTGTTTGTCTTCCTGTGTCTACTGTATGTAGACGTTGCATTTCGTGATACCCGAGGCTAGGATGTATGTGTTTGCGTAGTGTAGTATCGGTTAATTAAGGCCCTTCCCGTTCGCGACTAAAATAAAAAAAAAAAAGCTTGGGACTAGCAACGCGGACGATATTCGTCGGCTTGCTTTCAACAATTGATCATCACGACATGGGAGTCAATGACCGCGTTACGAACGAATCGTCGGCAGACTACTCCCCTACACCCAGCACTTGCCAGCCCCCCTTCGCCATCATGCCGTATCGTCTCCATCCGAGCCTGACTAGATCGACCCCTTGTTCCCCACTCCAGGCCAGGTTCAATCCAACCCATTAACATGACCAACTCCATTGTCCGTCCCCGCCCGACCTCCGGCCTTGTCCCGCGTTCGCCTCATCATGCAGCCTCATCTCTATCTGAGCTCCTTCTTGCTAGATCCAATTCATGCACATCCGAGTCTTGATCTCTTGCCCCCCACCCCTCATCCTTCTCAATTCCTTTCCAGCCGTTTAGCTGCAACCATGGTCCGTGCTCGCCCGAACCCAGCCCTCGCCCGGCCCTCTCCCCCCAAGTACCGTCTCATCTCCAACCCACTTCCTGGTTACACCGATCCCTCGTCGTTCCAGATCTCGCCTCCATCCGACCTCCTGCTTACACCCCCCCCCCTCAGAAACCCTCGTTCCACCCCACCCGTTGAGCTGAAACCATTGTCCGTGCGCGCCCAACCCGGGTCCTTTTGTCCCACCCTTCTCCCATAATACCACTTCGCATCCGTTCGAGCTCCTGCCACACCGACCACGTCCCCCCCACCCGAAGCCATGTTCATTTCCATTTGTCCTCACCCCTATTGGACCTTCCTCGAGCCCAGCCTTTGCCACGAAGTCCACCCCGTCATGCCGATCCGACTTCCTCGTTGACGGAGTTCTTATTGCCTTCACACCCGCCGCCTGTTGACTCGCTCTCGCCTTCGTGGCATCGGTCCTCGCCAATATATACCCTTCGCCGACGCTTCTCTCGCAGTGCTCTCTCGCGTACCGCCGAGCTTCGACCCTTCTCCCGCTAGGCCAATTCGCGCTAATTTCGTGTCCCCCAACCCACGCCTTGGTCATTCACTCCGCCCTGCGTGGCATCGTGCCTCGCCGATCCTACCCCATTCCCCGACCCTCGTTCCGCCCTACCACCTTGCCTCCATTCTAGTTCCTGGATAGCCCGCGGCTTTGCTTCCCAACCCACGCCTTCTCCACTCACTTCCGCCTGCGTGGCAACCGTCCTCGTCAAGGCACTTCCTTCACCGACCCATATCCCATCATGCCATCTCGCGTACGTCCGAGGCCAGGCTGGGCCAATGCCTTGCTTCCCATACCAACCTTTGTAAATTCACTCAAACCTAAGAGGCTATCTGCTCGCCTTTCAGCCCCTTTTCCTTACTCTTCTCTTGGTTTTCCACCTCGTGTCCAGCTGGGCTTGGACCCTTCTTACGCCATGCAACCTGGCGCCCAAATGAGCTCCGGTGATGCCCACGCCTTCTCCACTCACTCACTCTTACTTGCGTCTTGTCGCCCCTCGCGAAAGAAATTACTTCTCCGACCCTTCTCCTGCCGGACTAGCTGGCGTCCCGCCGAGCTCTGACGCTTCTCTTCCCACCTCTCCTTGCGCCCATCGGAGCTCCCGGCAAGGCAGCTTCGTTTCTTTTCAACCTGCACCCCTCGTCCACTCACTCTCACCCTCATCGCATCGCCGCTCGCCTCGCCAATCGAGCCCACTCCTCCGACCCGTTCTCCCCATGCAACCTCGAGCCGATCCGAGCTCCGGGGCTAGACATATTCCTTGCCTCCTGACCGACGCCATGTTCACTCGCTCTCACCGGAGTGGTGTCGCTCCTCGCCCAGCCCACGCCTACAGCCGACCCTTCTCCCACCAAACCATCTCGCGTCCAACTGAGCCCCTTGGCTCGATCGATTCTTCTGTCCATCCCAGCCTACGCCTTGTTCACCCGCTCTCATCGGCGTGGCTTTCTTTGCTCCTCGCCTTTCCAACGCCAATTATGTCGTATTTTCTAGTAGAATAGTTGCAACCACCTTTATTTACCCCATCGACTATGGAAGGGAGCATTGAGAGCGTGCGGTAATGCTCGTTCGTTTCGTGGCGACAAATACTGCCTGTAGGAAACTGCCGTTTTTCATAGTATGTCGAAACAATCACCCTTTTCGACAACGGATGAAGCCATTAGGACCGTGTGGCAATACGTGTTTCATGGCCCGTACGTACGCTACTGATTGATATATTGAACTTGGAAAGTCGTGCAACATTCACAAGTGAGAGGCTACGGTGATACCTGTTGAGAAACCTCAGTCGGAGAGAGGTGAGTCGGATCGGGCCATGTTGTTTCCTACAGTACATTGATTACACACCGCACTCGGCGTTGCCCGTGGTGTATGACGAAGCATGTATTAATATTGTAGGGTGACACGAACAAGCACCACGGGTGGGTCTGTTTCTTTCGTTGTGGTCTACGAGAAAGCTTCAACCTCTGCCAGCGGTGTGTTGGGTTGGTAAATTATCTATTGGTAACCTCAACCAGCCACCGCAAGAGGCACGGTATTGTTCGGGAAGTAGCCAGCCACCACGCACGGTGTTTCACGCTAGCCCCGGTGGGGCGTTCGCATTCCATAAGAAAAGCCCTAGCCACCACGTGGTGTTGGCAAAATTCGGACGGTATGTTGTTGGCCACACAATCGTCTTATTATATTGGGGGTTCTTTCGCGTGTGAAAAGCCGCGGCTGAACATCCGTAGCCTGGAAATCCCAAGAAGAACACCAAGGACATCATTGGGGGCCTGTTCTTATACCAAACATCGAGTCCAGCTGTTTGCAGAAATAGCTACAACTAGTACTAGTCTATAACCCTAGCCAACAGATACGGCAGGCAGACTCTCGCAGCCAACAGACCACGCAGAAGACGACCAACAAACTACAGAAGAGGATAGATCCAGAGCTACGCCCGGCAATGTCAGAAGGCTAGGCTGCATGCTGCAGTCTAGGTCAACTATCCAAGGCGACAAGAAAATCAAACCACACTTAATTTATTTGCTACTGACCGAAGGCACACCAAATAGAAGGGAAAACATGCCTTTTAAGTACGCCAACGACATTAAATATTTACATCTAAGATCCATCAACCCCAGGGGTGAGGATTGAGCCGACGACAGAAACCCTCCCCCACCATCACACATACTATACGTCGGGTGCTGATCCACCGAGGAAACGCAAATATATACTCGGAGTATAAGCCTCTAGTAGTTGCGGTAATTGGGTTGGTCCTTCCCCGGTAACAAGCTCCCCCCAGTGCCCATTACACCATCTTGTCCATCCCCAGATGGCAAGAAAACATGAAAGTTCCCTCCGGGGCGACCTCACACTCCTCTTAACATGCTAGTCTACTAAGAATGTCATCACACCAACAACAACAACAAAATAAAAAAGAGCACGATTGCGTCCTAGACCCTGGTGCACTGAATGCCAGCCTGGCCCCCGACCGATCGATCACACGCTCCGAACCACATCATCATCATAAAAGGAGAAATAAATGCAGTAGAATACCAAAAGAAAAAAGCGACGACCCATAAGCACCCCAGTATCCATCCATGTGGGACTAATAATATTGAGGCAATGGAGAACACCCCGTATGCGGTCCAGGTTCAGCCGGAAAGCGAACGACAGAAAAACCCAAGAGATGAAACACATGGGGTGCCACCGATCGCAGCACCCGCCTTGCCATGCATGCTTCAGTGGTGATTGCGGCTTGCTGGGAAGCACGCAAAGTTATGTAAAAGCTGGGTACCACCAACAAGAAACGGCAAATATATGCAAGGGACATGAATTCTGGTGAGAGATTGCGCTGGCCGAAAGACAAGACCTTCAACCTCCAACGTCCACCACGTAGATGTGTATGCTAATAACGTAATGCCCGCTACTTTCCTCGCTAAAACTCTTATTTAATAAAATGCTGTCTACGCTCCGACCCACCGCGAGTAAATGAAAGACAACTCTCACTTAAACCCCCATGAACACGCCAGTCTCACGCGACACAAGACAAATGAACGCTCCTCCATAAACCTTGTGTACACGTGTCACGCCAAAAATCCGTCCGCAAAAATTAAAAATGTTCTTCGTAAAACTCAATCCAACCGTGTTTATTATGCCCACACACCCACTTTTTCTCCTCCTCCCGTTGTTGTCGATGTTCTCGTTTTACAAACCGTTCCGATCTCTGCTCAGTACCTTCTAACATCGGTACCAGTGCAAACAGACGGGGACCCCTGCCGTGGTCACAGGCCAACCATGTACCGACAGCAGGGTACACAACCCCCTCCCCCCGAAAAAAGAAAACGACTCAGAAAAACACGCCAAGAACGTGGATTCGAAAAAAAACTCGCTCAGTGCATTCCAACGACAACACTTTACCGAACACCATACCGGCCAGTGGATCGCCCTTTTGCAGAACACCACGGCGTTTCCGCCGTCGGCATGTACTGTGAGCCAAGCGGGCGTTTAGTATCAGAAACCGCGCACAAAACATGAAGACCAAGAGGGCTGCAGGTCAGGTGTCTCCCCCCTCCAGAACATTTACCAAGCCCCTCTCCATTGCCACTGATCCCGCCTAGTTAAATAAAAGCACACCATCGCTTGCACAGCAAGACGTGCAAAGCTTATGTCCACACACGCACGGAAAAAAGCGGGGCCCCAAGCACACTAGAAAACAAAAAAAGAAGCCCCACGGAGAGCCTTAAACAAAACACACTTCGCCGCGACACTGGCAGTCTGCACGCGAGGCAAGAACCCGAGTCCACAGAAAAACACAAACGGTTGTTCCCAGAATAAACCAAGTGTTGATCCCAGAAAAAAACAAAATGTTGTTCGCACTACCTACGCTAGTTCTGCTTCCATTATCCGTGCTTCGTGACCATCGCTTACTACTAGCGCCAACGACAAATGTTTCGCCGAACCCCAAGTCAACCGACACCCTAACCACATCCTTGACCCCAAACCTTTACACCTAATATGACAGCCCATACCAAGGTATATATACCGTCTCTCCCGACTCTCGTAACCTAACGTAAGCCCCAACCCAAACCGCGATGATAGCGGTGGCTAAACGTGCAGGAATAGTTGAGGAGCAAAGTACATCCCGCTACTGCGTCAAAAACCAGTGAGGGGCCGGCCACCCCGCACCACCCGAACGGTGCCAGGGGGGCAACGGACTCTTTGTCTTCAACCAACCATCGCCAGCGCGTGACAACAACAACTTCCGCCACCGCGCTCGCTGCCACTGCCGCCGCTGCTTGTAGTACTGAGCACGCATGAGACACACCCGGGAAGGGAAGGGAAAAAGGCACACACACCCTCCCACTCGTCCCGTGCCATACGCAAAGAGGAGACACGACCAAGCAAGCCGACCAGGCGGCGGGTCGGGGCAGCAGCAACACGGCCGCCGCAAGGCAAGACTCCACCACGCCTGCTGCAGAATAAAAAAAAAAAAACGGCCCCGAGAGTAACGAGAGCCAGTTTCAGAACGCGCTCCAGTGAGGGCTGCTCCCTAGGGACGACGCGCCCGGCGGCGCAAACGAGTGGTGACAAAACTCCGCCTTGATCGCCGCCATGTCTCCCGGAAACACGCCCCCCGCCGCCACCGGGTGGTCATGTGGCCCGCGAGCCCCAGCCCGAATCAACGGCGGCTCTCCAATGCTGCTGCTCGAGAGGTCGCCGACTCCGCCGCCGCCGCCACAGCTCGCTGTTCTCGCGCCACAGCTGACGGCATCCAGGCGGCAGTCTCCCTGCGGCAAGGCATCGTACGAAGTGATTCCCGGTCCTTGGAGGGGGGACACGTCCGTCGAAGCTGTCGACATGGAAGGGGAACGCACGTTGGTGGTCGATGACGGGTACAACGCCGTCGTGGGCGATTCCCCGATGACGGCGGAGCCGGCGTCCTTGACCCAGCCGACGTTGCTTGAGGGAGGCACGGACGGCTGCGGGGTGTGCTGCTTGTGGTGTACGGGGTGGCAAGGGGGCCAGCTTGCTGTCGCTCTCGCTGTCGGGTTCATCCGTGCCGTTGGCCGATGACCCTCGTCGAGATGCTTTGGAAGGAAGTAAGAAACGCTGCCCACTCCAGAAAGGTGCGACAGGAAAAACTGCTGCTGCGCCCGTAAGGGGTAGCTCATCCCGCCAGAGGTATCCGGTTTCATTTCGCGCTTCGGCTGCTGCTGGGCGGTGGCGTTCTCGTTTTCCTGCGTCATTGCCTGCCGCATGAGGTCCCCCAGCCAAACATCAGCAGGCTCCATCTCCGGGATCTCCGGCGGCATGTCCAGGCGCCCGCCCGGGGTGCCCGGCAACCGGTCAGCCTGCAACGACTGGAACTCGGGGATCCGCTCGTACTCCTCCTCCTTGGGCGCCGCCGCCGCCGCCGCCGCCGCCGCCGCCGCGGCCACCCCCACCTGCAAGCACTGCTGCTCGCCGAAACCAGGGTATCGCGCACCACCGCCTTCCGTAAAGGACGTACCTTCGACCTTGAAAGCGCCGCCGCCGCTCCCATCGCCACCACCGCACTTGTTGACGTTCATTGCGGGGGGATTGCACGGCCGCTCGGAAGGGAAACCCGGCATGCCGAACGACGACTGATGCTGTTGCTGCTGCTGTTGCTGCTGCTGTTGCTGCTGCTGTTGCTGCTGGTGGCTGTGTGGAGACGACCGCGGGAACTGGCAAGACGGGCCGTCGCTGCTACTGCTGCTGCTACTGCAATAATCATTCGCAGCCTGAGGGGGAGGCGCCCACGTAGATAGGCCGCTGCTCCCGATGCTGCTGTCGGGGAAGGGCTGCTGTCCTTGCTGTCCTTGCTGAGACAAGTCCAGGGGAAGCATCTGAACGCCGTTGATGTTCTCACCGCACGGCTGCTGGCTGCAAGAGATTCCGCCCGCAGAGCTATCGGCGCAACGAAGAAAGTCTGGCTCGACAGGCGGCTGGAAGAAGTTCGACGTCGTTGGGGGGCAGAGCGGCGGCGCGGAGCCATAGCCGTAGCCGTTGCTGCCGCTGCTGTTGTTGATACCGTTGATGACGTTACCGCCGACGTCGCCGGTGTTGTCCTCGAGCTTGCAGTTGACAATGCCCGTGTTGACGCCGCCGTAGCTGATGCCGTGGTTCCCGACGTTGCCGCTGCTGTCCTCGAGCTTGCAGCTGATCATACCCGTGTTGACCGCGCCGTTGCTAATGCCGTGGTTCCCGACGTTGTCCAACCCACCCACAGCGGCCCCGTGTCCTTGGGGGGGGAGCGGAGCCATGCCTTTGGGGGGGTCCTCTCTCGCCGCATCCGCAGCGGCTGCTCCTCCCCCGTCCCCGACCCCGGCTCCGGAAGCGTCGCCGCCCATGCCCGATTGTTCCGGACGACGCTTCTTAATCTTACACATGTGGGGCTCGCGGTGAAGCGCGCAGGCGGTCGGCTGCCCCCCACGAACGCCGAAGCGTGCGACCTTGGTGCAGCCGTCGGCATCGCAGCGCGCCCCCTTGATGTCCACCATGCCCGGGGAGCGGTGCTCTTCGCAGAAGGAGGCCACGAACTTGCCTCTTTCCGAAAAGTTGGCCTGGCGGGTTTAGCAGAGCACAAGCAGAAGTAGCAGCAGGAGCGAGGAAAAAATGGGCAACGGAGGGAGCATCTTCGGGTCAGTGAGTTGGCATGGCTACCAGCCTGTACAGGTAGCATGATTGATTTGAAAGTTGACGTTCAGGGTTTAGACTGCATTGCGGAACCAACGACGCTCCAGACAACAGTAGCTGCTGCTGCCGCATGAGTGTTGCTGTGGCTAATTTGGTTGAAGAGACGGGCGCTTGTATGGAAAGGGACGAGGAATTGCCCCCATTACGATTACAATGCTCGGGTCAAGAGGGGGGTGGCCTACTACATATTGTTCGTCAGGGTTGTCAACAAACGCCGTGCCAAATTTCACGACCGGAGGAGTGAGATGTCACACACGTTCGAAGAACTGCTGTAGCTACAATACAACCAACAATATCGGCGAAGTGGGGGGATGAATGAAAATCCAGCTATCCCGAGGTAACGCGAGCAAGACAGAGCAGGGGCACACCCGGGGTTCTCCGGTCTTTGGGCAACGTGATGGGAGGAAGTCACCACAAGTGCCCTTGGACGGAATGAAATGAAACTAATTCATTGCAGGAGTCACCGAGATGCGAGGCCCTAGACTGCAGTGCCGACCAAACCACAACATCAACCAATTTCAAGCCCTTCAGGCTCTACAGCCTTGCAATGTCTCGCCCACCTGCTTTGTGCAGCCGATCCACTTGCAGCGCTTGTTCTTGAGGTCCACCATGCCTGATGCAAAAAGATCCGGGCAAAAATACGCGCACATGTACGACTACGTTAAATTTCCAACCCAAGGAAGACGAAAAGTACTGTAGGCAGGGGGCCTCATGGAGAAAAACCCTTCTGTGTGAACATGGGTTGGAGTGAACGGCACGAGTGCTGAGAGCGCTCATTTGAAGTCAAGACCAAAACAATGAAAAAAAGAATATTCTGGTCGTCGTATTTTCGAGTGAAACGGCACAGTGTGCCCACACGACGTCCGCGTCGTTCGTGAACCGGTGTTGCTGGCGACGGAGGACGGGAAAAAGATGAGAACCAGCGCATGGTTTCATTTCTGCATCTATCTCGTTGAATGAGCTGCGTTCTTAGTCAAAGTTGACCTGTCGAATACTGTACATCTTCAGAAAGCAATCCAAGTACCTGAAGCAGCTGCACTACTGCAGGTAGGTCGTTACTTGATCGGCGAAACGCCAGCTGTATAGTACAACCATGGGAGACTGACCTTCCTGTCTGTGGGCGCCGCAGAACCTGGCCCTCTCGCCCCTGAAGCCGAAGAGCCTCCTCTTCATGCAACCCTCGAACTCGCACCTCTTGTTCTTGACGTCCACCATCCCTGTCATGACACGGTAAGGGTGATATGGGCGGACATATTACAGCATTGTCATCTCCCTGCTAGTTCTTGTCGCTGAAAGCAACTACTGTTGGTCTGCACTAACGATGGCAGCGGAATGCATTTCGTCACACATGCGTGTGTATGTCTAGACCAACGGTCGGTGCATTTCGTTTTTCGTCACGCATCTGTACTGTCTGCATGGCAATTAGGTGGGTAAATAGTTGCAGACAGCGCCTCCTCCTTGGTACCGCTGGCCATCGCGCTGAAAGGACAATAAATTCACAGTGACACAGGGTTTGTGTATAAAAGCACAACAATGGGAGTCTCTTGCGACCTTCCTTAGACACGTATCGTACACTAACACTGCAACAAGTACCCTCACGTTTGTTCGTAAGCCATCACACCAAACGCTTTATCTGCTTGAGGTAGAAGAGAATATGTGCAGTAAATAATGATGCATGCACATGTGAGGGGTGACTTGTCGTCAGCCCTCATCCGTTTTGTCATGGATGGACCTAGACAAGAGTCTCCGCGCTCACACGGAAAAATGAAATGTAGTCCAATCACCAAGTAAATATTTTCCTCAAACGGATACATAAGTGAGTGGAGCCCGCACTATCATTTCTTTGTGTAAAGGCGCGCGTTCGTGTGTCTGTCTGCGAAGAAGGGGGCTATAGCGCAACAAAAAAAAAAAATCGCAAAGAACCTTGTTGAGCAAGTAACCACAGGAGAGACACTGCTGTAACCGCTGCATGCTGGTCGGAGATCGGAGATTGGTACATGAATTCGTTGCGAAGTAAGTAAAGCCTCTGGATTGTTCTCCGTGGATAGAGAGATGAATTCGTCGAGTCTCGAGTACCCAGCCGGTTTTCCTCCACTCACTGAAAAGACTCCACCACATCTCGTTCGACTGTTGGTATATCTCGCATGGGTAGTCTTTCTGTGCGTGTATTTATATTTTCTCAAGTCTCGAACGAAAGGCGATGACACCAAAAATTAACACAGCAGCGGAAGAAACTGTGGCTAGAATATACCTGCTACGGAGAGGGAGATAGATGTCACTGCTGTATGCTGCTGCTCGCGGAATAGTAAGTAGAACCTCCGGGTGGTAAACACTTACTTGTTGATTCATCATTACATAATCCCGGGATCTACATTATCTATGCATGGACACTCGGTAGATTGTAACAAAACGAATCAAATTCCGAAGATACGTGCGGCAGAGGCATGAAAAAGTATGTTAACTGTGCACTCTTCTCGGTAGATTGCAAAAAAATCAAATCATTTCGACCATACGCGCGGCAGAGGCATGTATGAAACCCTAACCTCTCGAGCGCAAGATGCGCGAAAACGACGTGCAACGTCAGTTCATTGTCGAAAGGGGGGATTTGCGAGACCGACGCGGTGTGAATGAAAGGAGGAAAAGCTGCTCTTCCTCTACATGTATAGCGCGTGCCTGGTTCCAAGGAAATCAGCCTCTGTGTTCAACTTCTCCGTGGAATTGTGTGGCGTTTAAATGAACACGTTCGACATGTTCGTCTGATTTCCACATGAATGACATGCGGATGGGCGGCGGATAACGAGAGAGAGACCAAGATGTGGGGGTAGGGAACTGTGCCACGTCGATGTATGATATGTCCGTTCGACTGTGGGTATATCTCGAATGGGTAGTCTTTCTGTGTGTGTTTTTATTATTCCTTAATGTCTTAAGTACATGGAAGTGCCGGATCAATGTCTCTCGCTTTGCGGTTGAAGAAGGGGGGTGACGTAGATAGACTACGCGTCAACACCTCTCTTGTATGCTTACGAAACCGTGTTTGCTCTCTCGGAGTAGTTAACACTCGGGCATCAACGCGGAACCACGTTGTTACTCATTCGTGCTGACACGGCGGTTCCGTCGCAAACCGGGGGGTGGTCGGATCATGCTCTCTGTGCGCACAGAATGATTGGGGACCATTAAAATGTGCGACTGGTAGAGACGCAATCAGTCCTTCGCTGGCGCCAACGGATCTGCTGCATGCGTACGCAAAAGTTCTATCAAAGGTTGAGTGAGAGACGTGTACCTGATGAGTTAACTCGCCGTCCGCACGTAATTTGGCTCTGTCTTGGTTACTTGCAGCAGGGATAGGGCGTTTTGTGTTGTCCGCAGCACAGCGCACTGTATAATTGGTACAAAACGCAAAACAGTATTTTTTCCTGTGTGTGGTCCGCTTTTGTCGCCAAGATCTGCCAGCGGGGATCTTGTCAAACACTTACGGGAATCCAGAACAACACCGCCCAGAGATTGAGCTTGTTGCTCCTTACATGCGTGGTGGCAAGCAACCGCTTCTCCTCTCATCCTTGTTCTGGTTGAGCGTGCACGGCCGACTGCTGTGCCTTTGCATGCCAATGCAGTGAATTGTCACGTCTGATGACACAGCAGCAGGCCCCACATTGTTCTGTCTCTGGTGTACATGTTGACCCCTTCGCTGCCGTTCCGGGGTATTGTCATGATGTCGTGCGTGCGTGTCGAAGACGTCAATGAGATCAACTCTCTTTGTGGCCGTTCCCCCGCGCAAACTTGTGAGAGGCCACACAGGACGGCGACACAAGCCCTCCAAAAATGGCCACACCACTACCAGATCCAACTCGTCGCAAGCCTGCCACCGCGAAATGCAAGAGGAACTAAGCCGCATCCACATCTAACGCCGAGAACTTGGAACATTTCATTTTTTTCAAGCCTTGTGCAGGGTGTCAGAGGTTTGAATGTTGCATACGGGGGCGAGGATTGATTGGCCTTTTCGCTGATCAATCCATCACCGTTGATCCTCTCGTCTTCGCCACGATGCAACAACAGTCAAGCTTGCCCCTTGCGATGCTTGATGTCGCTTGCTTGCGGGGCGAGAAGCATGCGGGTTGCGGCGTGCAATAGCAGCGACACTGCATGCACGGGTCTTGTAGTAAGGCTTGCGTGCTTGCTTTGGTTGGAAGTTTTGGAGAGTTTATCACCAGCAAGAGCCCAATCTTCTTTGCTGTGCGAAAAGCTCTCCAAAAAGGTACAACCCGGTAGGCAAAACCAGCTCCTGCCACCAATCTCGCAATACGAGTATCGCGAAACCCAGGCATAGCTGTCTATCAATCACGCCACCGTACATGCACGCGACCCCTCTCTCTCTCTGAATGCGCATGAGTGTGTATGTTGGGGGGGAAAAATGTTGGTATATAAATTTGGATGATTTCCAGCAACAACAGCGAATGGAACACGTGCAACCTGCAACGCACCTGGCTCCTTATGCGCGACGCAGGAGACCGCACTCTCGCCATGCCAGCCGAAGTACGGGCTCTTGGTACATTCGGGATGGCTGCACACGCGCAAGGCGATGGCCTTGTTGGGGCGCTTCGTCTTTACGGCCGAGCCTGCAGCGGCAGACGATGTCATCTTGATCGCTACCATCTCTTTTTTTGTCCCTTCTCCCGTGCGCTCTCTGTCCCCTCTCTTTCCCCGCCGCGCCTCTCTCTCTCCCTCTCTCTCTCTCCTTTCGGTGCCTTGTGCCTTGTCACTGCCTGCCTCTGGCTCTGCCTCCCTCTTGTCTCCCAATTCCTCACGTGCCTTTCGCGATTGACTGCCGTCTTGTAATTCGCGGGTAACGTGTGCGGGGCGGGCAGCAGTGGCTCTGTCGTGTGGAGCGGAAGGGGTTCGGAGATCACAGATAGATCAGATCAGAACGTGGGAAGAGAAGGGGGGGTACGCATAATTCTGGAAAAAAAAAGAGAGTGGTGGTGGCGGCAAATTTAAATTTGCGGCTGTTGTTGTCTTCCCAAACGCATTTTGTAGCCCGGCGATCATGTGTGTGTGTCACTCGCTCCTGTTACTTGTTGGAAACAAAAAACGTACGAGATCGATCAAGCGCTTGGTGCATTCTATTGAAATACATACGTCGGTGATTATATGCCATCATTTATTTCGTGCCTGATTTGGGGTATATGCATGTATGTATGCCTCTGTTGTGCATATTTGCATACTGTATGTACAATAACGCTGTAGTCCGGAGAACGCGTTTTGCATCATACCGGACGAAAACAACCGCGGACGCGTTGTATGTGCCTGAATTTTACTTCTCACCATGCATACGCGTGCAATCTGTACATCGCGCGACTCGTTGGGAAATGTGCCACAGCTGGTAACACACATCGCCCTTTCGTCTGTTCGTAATAAGTCTACACTGATAGTGACGAGAGGTTGGCAAACAATATGCCGTGCAGCTAGAGAGGAGGAGTAGTAGCAGGAGTGGTGCCGCTAAAAATGCCGGTAGGTGCCGGTTCCTTGGAACCGCAAAGCGGGCAACCCGTATATTATTCTAGCCATTGAATATAATATTCCATCTGTCACGCGAGTTCACCAGTATTATTACTGCTGGGGCAACAGGGTCATGATTCAATCGGGAGTACAATATGGCGGGACCACTACGCTACCGCTGGGCCGCGACCCCCGTATTTGAAGTTCCGTTGATGACGTCCGCTCTTCATCTGCGGTGCGTCGACAAACGAAAATTACAACTCGAGACAACGAAATAAAAATGTAAGCAGGCGATTCATTCGCCGGCCAGCACCTACGTTCCCGTTGTTGCATCTACCTACCTACATCATAGACAGATCATACCTCTCTTCCAAAACCACACATCTTCGTGAGGAAAACTGAGTACAAGTAGAAACCCTGAGCTCGCCCGCCTCCCTGTTGTCATTACATCGAGTCAGTGGCACATCGATATTGTGCTACATTACTGTATACCCTCGCCCTTTCACTTGGCGTCCGACTATGTTATCAGCACCAAGTGAACTCGGTCGCTTAACATATATGCATAGCAGCGCAGCGTGCCACAAACGGGAAGCCCCTGACGCCAGGGTCGGCCCGTGCTGCACGGTGTTCTTCCGTATCATCATCTGCGAATAGTTATAGTTTCTCGGGTATCGTAACTGCGAATCTTTGCTCTTGTTCCAGAGTACCTTCGCGGGTTCCGTTCGATATCCGATCCGCGCATCGACTACCGATTCACTCTGCCTTCGGCACGCTATATGCTGCCAACTGAAGTCCTCCTGCAAAGAAAGCTCGCTTGAGTTTGCCATCGCAGCCCTACAGCTATCATTCCGAATGGAAGCACGCCTCCCTCACGACGGGACATCTGAAGCGTGTTCCAACAAGATGCAGATATGGGTAGCATATGTCGCAGCTGTCTGCAATCGCTCAAGGTGCCTTCCCCGTCATGTCGTTCCACCGTCTGAATCAGAAGACGAAGCGTATGACCCTAACAAGTTCAGCCCACCCAGCCCTGCACCACCCGTCGCAGATGGTGCTGGTGTCGGCGCTACTGCTGCTGCTTCTGAGCTACCATTCTGCTTGGGAGCAGCGCCGGTTTTCTCCTTGCTCTTGTGCTTTTTTCGTTTCTTGGACGTCTTCTGCCCACCGCCGGCCTCGCTTGCAGCTTCGCCGATGCCGCTACTACTCCGTTTCTTCTTGTGCTTCACCACGACCTTCGTCCCCACCGATCCCGCGACGGCCGCCTTCATCGCCTCAGCTTCCCGCCTTGCCTGCGCCTCAATAGCGGACACTAGCGCCGACCCCGCGGAGTCTGCCTTTTTCGCTTCGCCAGCCCCCTCGCCCTCCTCCTCCTCTTGAGAATCCCCAGTGCTCGAAGACGATGCAACGGATTTTCGCGCTCGTTGAAACGTGTGTGTCATGTGTTGTGCCTCCGAGCCGCTACCGTCTCCTCCTCCGACGGCGGCGCGCTTTTTCCCCTTCCCTTTGAAACTTTTACTGGGGGGGTTGGTTCCGTTCGCTTCCGTCGCAGTATCGCCTGCGCCGTCGCTGTTGTCCTCGTCAGCGTCCACCAATCGACGAACCTTGGAGCCGCCAAACTGGATGTTCGCAATCATTGCGTCGACCTCGGCGTTTTCGCCAGCGCCCGCGCCACCCTGTTGAAAAGAGTGTGCAACGAAGCGACCACAAAAATTCAGAACCCATGCTGTAAGTTGTTCATGAAGCGCACTCGACGTTGACAAAAAATCTAGGTAAAGCGGAGGAACGCAGCATGCAAGGGGGCACGTGAAACGCAGGGCGTGATGCACTGCTCGAAACTGGACTAAGGCCAGATCAGGGAGGTGGCGGAGGGGGTCTGTTACATACCGCATATGGTCTTCAATAGGGGATTTAGTGTGGAATATTGTAACCAATTTACTATTGATTGTACTTCGATTTGATATAGTTGAATACTTTAACTCATACACCTCTTGTCACATGGGTTTTTGACTGTGACACGACCTTGCTGTAGCTATATTAGTAACTTC